ATCTGCAATGTGGTGTAGGGTTGGGTGGATGGTTTATGAGGAGGGTGGGTTACGGGTAAATGAGCCAACTGAAAGCAATGATTCAGTTGTCATTATCTATGTAACTCCAAAGGCTTAATCGACCAGGGATTTAGCTGAAGTACATGCAAGGGGTGAAGGGGATGAGGCATGGAGGTACAAACACATATCCACATCCTTACCGAAAACAGGCCCCATGCCACCATGCGGCTCTTGAACTTGGTGAACACCGCCCCGCCCCTCTTGAAGGAGAGCTTCAACGCATAAGCGAACAAGGGGTTGCTGAAGGGCGTCCCGGTGGCCTTGTCCAAGTGCCAGTTGAGGGCCCACTGTTCTGCATTTTGGCAGGGAGGGTATGGGTTGGAAAGGGTTTTGTAGAGAAATCAAGTGGGGGGATGAGATTCAGGGTGAGCCACATCGGACGGTGATATGTAGCTGCCAACTGGCATATGGTGTTTTCCAGTTGCACATACCATCTCTGTACTCGGCTAGGAGATGATCGTCGTCAAACCAGGTCGTTGGGTGTAGCTCAGTGGGCAGGCTTTCCACGAGATGGCTGTAATCGGCAAGGCCCATGCCGGTGTATGCTGCTGGCCTGAGGGTGGAGTTGATAGTTGACCTTGTTGAGGACAGCTGGTGGTTGAAGACTCCCATGGTTGACTTGTCATTGTGCAACCACAGTATCTTCATTGCCTCGAGCCCTTCTGCAGACAAGTGGACTGAGAACGCGTCAAACACTTCCTCCGGTGTAGGGTAATACTGTATTTTCTCTGGCGGGTTCAGAAACATGAGCTGAGAGCACACTAAGTAGGCTTTGTTCTGCGCAGGGGTGTAGGGTATACAACACGACATGGGAGAGAGAAACTAGCAGTTATGAGGGTGGCTGCGTGACCAGGGGATGGTGACTAGCAACATTGTGTGAACTTGCCACGTCACACCCTGCGCCATCCGCCACGTCCACCAACAACCCGCCCCACTTGCCACGTCACACCCCCCTACCACAAGCCACGTCACCCCCCACCCACCTGACATGCCTCGCTTCGTCATGCGCCGCTCACGTGTACCCTTTCAAACCGCCACGTCATCCTCAACCCTCACCTTCCGCCACGTCACACCCTCCTGCATCCAGCACGTCCACCAACAACCCGCCCCACTTGCCACGTCACACCCCCCTACCACAAGCCACGTCACCCCCCACCCACCTGACACGCCTCGCTTCATCATGCACCGCTCACGTGTACCCTTTCAAACCGCCACGTCATCCCCAACCCTCACCTTCCGCCGCGTCACACCCTCCTGCATCCGCCACGTCCGCCAACAACCCGCCCCACTTGCCACGTCACACCCCCCTACCACAAGCCACGTCACCCCCCACCCACCTGACACGCCTCGCTTCATCATGCACCGCTCACGTGTACCCTTTCAAACCGCCACGTCATCCCCAACCCTCACCTTCCGCCGCGTCACACCCTCCTGCATCCGCCACGTCCGCCAACAACCCGCCCCACTTGCCACGTCACACCCCCCTACCACAAGCCACGTCACCCCCCACCCACCTGACACGCCTCGCTTCATCATGCGCCGCTCACGTGTACCCTTTCAAACCGCCACGTCATCCCCAACCCTCACCTTCCGCCGCGTCACACCCTCCTGCATCCGCCACGTCCGCCAACAACCCGCCCCACTTGCCACGTCACACCCCCCTACCACAAGCCACGTCACCCCCCACCCACCTGACACGCCTCGCTTTGTCATGCGCCGCTCACGTGTACCCTTTCAAACCGCCACGTCATCCCCAACCCTCACCTTCCGCCACGTCACACCCTCCTGCATCCGCCACGTCCGCCAACAACCCGCCCCACTTGCCACGTCACACCCCCCTACCACAAGCCACGTCACCCCCCACCCACCTGACACGCCTCGCTTTGTCATGCGCCGCTCACGTGTACCCTTTCAAACCGCCACGTCATCCCCAACCCTCACCTTCCGCCACATCACACCCTCCTGCATCCGCCACGTCCACCAACAACCCGCCCCACTTTCCACGTCACACCCCCCTACCACAAGCCACGTCACCCCCCACCCACCTGACACGCCTCGCTTTGTCATGCGCCGCTCACGTATACCCTTTCAAACCGCCACGTCATCCCCAACCCTCACCTTCCGCCACATCACACCCTCCTGCATCCGCCACGTCCACCAAGAACCCGCCCCACTTGCCACGTCACACCCCCCTACCACAAGCCGCGTCACCCCCCACCCACCTGACACGCCTCGCTTTGTCATGCGCCGCTCACGTGTACCCTTTCAAACCGCCACGTCATCCCCAACCCTCACCTTCCGCCACGTCACACCCTCCTGCATCCGCCACGTCCACCAAGAACCCTCCCCACTTGCCACGTCACACCCCCCTACCACAAGCCGCGTCACCCCCCACCCACCTGACACGCCTCGCTTTGTCATGCGCCGCTCACGTGTACCCTTTCAAACCGCCACGTCATCCCCAACCCTCACCTTCCGCCACGTCACACCCTCCTGCATCCGCCACGTCCACCAACAACCCGCCCCACTTGCCACGTCACACCCCCCTACCACAAGCCGCGTCACCCCCCACCCACCTGACACCCCTCGCTTCGTCATGCGTCGCTCACGTGTACCCTTTCAAACCGCCACGTCATCCCCAACCCTCACCTTCTGCCACGTCACACCCTCCTGCATCCGCCACGTCCACCAACAACCCGCCCCACTTGCCACGTCACACCCCCCTACCACAAGCCGCGTCACCCCCCACCCACCTGACACCCCTCGCTTCGTCATGCGTCGCTCACGTGTACCCTTTCAAATCGCCACGTCATCCCCAACCCTCACCTTCCGCCACGTCACACCCTCCTGCATCCGCCACGTCCACCAACAACCCGCCCCACTTGCCACGTCACACCCCCCTACCACAAGCCGCGTCACCCCCCACCCACCTGACACGCCTCGCTTCGTCATGCGCCGCTCACGTGTACCCTTTCAAACCGCCACGTCATCCCCAACCCTCACCTTCCGCCACGTCACACCCTCCTGCATCCGCCACGTCCACCAACAACCCGCCCCACTTGCCACGTCACACCCCCCTACCACAAGCCGCGTCACCCCCCACCCACCTGACACGCCTCGCTTCGTCATGCGCCGCTCACGTGTACCCTTTCAAACCGCCACGTCATCCCCAACCCTCACCTTCTGCCACGTCACACCCTCCTGCATCCGTCACATCCACCAACAACCCGCCCCACTTGCCACGTCGCACCCCCCCACCCCAAGCCAAGTCATCCCCAACCCTCACCTTAAATGCCTCGTCTCGTCATGCGCCGCTCCCTTGTACCCATCCCAACCGCCACGTCATCCCCAACCCGCACCTTCCGCCACGTCACACCCTCCTGCATTTGCCACGTCATCCCCAACCCTCACCTTCCGCCACGTCACCCTCCCCCACCCCAAGCCTCGTCACCCCCCACCCACCTAACACGCCTCGCCTCATCATGCGCCGCTCCCTTATACCCTCCAAAACCGCCACGTCATCCCCAACCCCGCCCTGGTTGCCACGTCAACCCCAACCCGCCCCATTTAGCCCGCCACATACCGAGAATGGGTTTGTCTCCTGCAACACTAGCACTCGTGCCTTGTCCACGACACTCATCGGCGGCGGGATACCTTTCATAGGCACCACTGCAGACCCCCCGACATAACTGGCAGGTGCTCCACGACGCATGCTGAGCTGAGCAAACATGGCGTACATCTCAGACCGTAGCGCCTGGAACTCCTCCCGTGTAACAAACTGCTCGTGCTCCGCACTTTCACCTAGGGCACCCAAGAGCGGGGAAAAAGGGTGTGAAGAATCCCCCTTCTGGCCAAGGGGATCAACGTCTTCTGCAGCAGTCCCGTGTGCCCTCACACTATCACGATGGCGGAGAAAGGGCAGCTCGGGGAAGGGATTGGCAGAAGTGCTTGGCCCTTGCCCGCGCGAAGGACCGGCGAGGGGGGAGACGGCCCTGCCCCAGACAGGAGAAGCGTGCAGCTGCCGATATGGGTATGAGGGTGAGTCGAGTGGGGAGTGCGTGACGTGGCCTGGTGGAGGGGATTCGGATTCCTCTCCTCTTGGTGCGCCGGGTGCCCTGGCAGCGACTTTAGATGGGCCGGAGTATGGCGTGTAGAACCTTGGGGCTCCTGTGGATAGCGGGGTAACACTCGCTCTTCCGGCCCCCTTCGTTAGCTGCATCCGTTGCACGCTTACCGGTGGCCCAATGCCTGTAACACGAGGGGCTGAGATTTATAGGGAGCTGGAGCACAAAATTAGAGTCGATTAGTTTCAATACAGGGGCACACATGCTTGCATACGATCAGCGGTTTGAATCTAAATCAGGTTATAACGGGTTCTGTTTTGTAACAAGAGGCCTTACCTTGCTTTGCAGATTTGTTGACCTTCTCCTTCCCTGCAGGGGAGAAACAATGTGAAGAAATGTGTTAATTGGCACGGTTGAGCAGAGAGTTCAGCAGCCACGCCATGTGTATGGGCCACAGTGCTTACCTTTTAGATGTCCCTTCGGTTATTTTGCTGCCTGCGCCTTCTCATTGCCACCTTTCCGCGGGGTGTGTTGGCGGCCGCTGCGACGTTTACCGGCTGGTTCTTTCTTGCCGGTACCCACTGGAACCCCTTTGGCGCGGCCGCCCTTTCCTTCACCATCCCCTTTTGATCCCTGGCTACCTTGCTTTTTACCAACCCCTTCGCTTTCGACCTTCACTTTACGCGTCTTCGGTTTGCCCGCTGCTTCGCCACACGGGGCGTCACCCGCCCCGCGTTTTCGGGAATGGCGAGTCCGGCCCCCCACCTTCCCTGTACCACTCCCTCGTCTGCCTCGCCCGCCCCGTCCTTTCACTGCCGCCACATCCTCCTCCTCCTCCTCCTCCTCCTCCTCCTCCTCCTCCTCCTCCTCCTCCTCCTACTCCTCCTCCTCCTCCTCCTCCTCCTCCTCCTCATCCTCGTCGCCCCCCTCCTCGTCCTCCTCCTCCTCCTCCTCTTCCTCCTCCTCGTCATCATGCTCATCTTTTTCTTCCTCCCCAACATCCGCGTCCTCCTCCTCCGCATCCTCTTCATCCTCCTCTTCCTCCGCATCCTCCTCCTCATCAGCCTCCTCCTCCTCATCCCCCGCATCCCCCTCATCCTCCTCCTCCGCATCATCAGGGTCTTCTTCACCCCGTTTTGGCCTCTTCCCCCTCGCTGCTTTCTTGACACTCCTTCCGCCGGATGTTCTCCTTGCTGCGGGTCGGCCCTTCTTGCGCAATGCATGACCCGTCGCCTTGCCACTTGCTTCCCTGGCACCTCGCGTTGTCCCAACTTCCGCACCACCGGCGTCGTCAGCACCGCCTGTTGTCTGCCGCCTCTTCGACCGCGTATTGATGCCCCCGGGCACGGCGGTGTCATACTTTTCTTCCCCATCGCTCCTCCTCTGCCTACGCCTCCCACGTCCAACAGAAGGAGGAGAGCCACCTACGTCGGCGATGCTGTGTTGGAGATCCTCCATCGAATCGTGCTCCCCCGCCTTGGCCTTATCCACCACGGCAGCAGAAATTTCGACCACGGTCGGCTGGAGCAGCGTCAGTCCGTGTTGGGATGCCTCCGCCTTGCACTCCTGGGTTGCGGCATGCTCGGCGCGGGGAGCGTCGCCGTGGTTTCCCCCTGTCGCCGACCCCTCTCTCTCCGCCAACGGGACTGCAAGACTTACGCTCCCTCGCCCCGGATCTTCTTTGCCGCCGATGGTGCCGTCGTTAGTCGGACCGGGATCGGTTCTACCAGAGGCAACATACGCATCTTTTTTCACGATAGAAACACGCTTACGTGGCGTTGGTTGCTTCCCCTTCTCTTCCGCCTTCTTGCCGGACTTCTCCTGTCCAAAGGCGGCCTTTTTTCCCGCCAATTTTTTCAGCCCTCTGCCACGCGCGGCGGGCGCATTAGTACCTTTAGAGCCGCCACCACCCTCCCTATCGGTCTGTTGAGACAGCCTCCTTGTCGCGCGACGTCTGGCCTGTTCCTCCTCCTTTTCTTTTTGCCGTGTTGCACGTGTCATGGTTGTATTACGAATGCGAATTTCTACAAGGCAGAACGGTGGAGCCGGTTTCGAAGGGGATCTGCAAATGAATGTAACGAAGGGAGAGTCGACGGTCTATTCTGTCATCTCTCTCCGAAAACCACCGCTTCAATCAATACTGAAATAGTAGTCACTAAGAGCTACGGCCCATGACTTAGTCGTCTGGTGACTCACGGGCGATCTGGAAACGCCTGTGTCAAACAGCGAGCAGCGTCAAAGTTGTGGGCCAGAGGGTGACAAAAGCAGGTGGGTGGGGCACGAGGGTGGTTGGGGTGGCTTGCGCGACTAGAGAGATTACTGTAATCAGATCAGGCTAGATCAGATGGTGTACGTGTAGCCACCCGATCATAAACCCACCCACCGCTCGATCACAGCCGCTCAATGGCGGAAGTACCGCTTGGCGGGTGCTTATGTTGTGGGAGGGGTCTTTTGAGATGCGTCGGCCAATCAGTGTTGCCAACGCATCAATCACTTGTCATGCTAGAACACTTTTTGAACCAATTGAGCGAACGCAACCTAAACCCTGCAAAGTACAGTCATGTCGCGAACGAACAATGTTGCACATACGAGCTAAATAACATTTAAAACTACAACAAATACAATCAACAAAAAATTGGTTGCTAATGTAATAGTCTGGGGTTGTGGTAAGGTAGTCGGTTTGTATCATGTCACACACACAAAGAGCGTCCAGAATGATAACTTCATACAATTGAACTAAGCACTATTAGGCTATGCCACAACGGTTACGCGTCGCTGTACGAAATCTAACACGACGATCACTAGTGCCAAACGAGAAACAGTTGTGGTATGGTGTTGGATTGGGCTCAATTCTTGCATGGACCTTATAAAAGGTGATGTGAGGGAGTGGTATGAAGCACAGGGCTAACGCACAAGCGGAGATGCGTTATCGACAGCCATGTTTAGACAGGGCGATGTTGCATCATTCAGGCCCATGTTTTGCGCGACATGGTGAAACCGTTGTGGTATGGTGTTGGATGGGCTCAATTCTTGCATGGACCTTATAAAAGGTGCATAAAGGGAGTGGTATGAAGTGTCAAAGTAACGAACAAGAATGAATGAACTAGCAAACAGTTGGGTACAAGTACTAACCCTAATTGGGTTGTACCCCTTATGGGCTACCCCACTACAGCCTACACAAATGTATAAGCTATAATGTTCTGACACACCCACATAGGCAAAGTGGGGGAGAACAAGTGGTCGCAAGACCAGTCAAGAAAATCAAAGCAAGCTCAGGGTGGATCACAAAGTCACCACACAGTCCGAGCACAAGCAAAGGGCCACAAGGCCAGTTCACATGCAGAGTAATATAAAGAGAACAAGCAATACAGTGATCATACCCTAGCAAGTACAAGCATGCAGGTATATATATAGATCACAGTACAAGTAGAGTCAAGCAGTAAGCAAGTGAAGCAAAGTAGGCACAAGGCCTAACACAGTAACAAAGCGCTGATGATCACCAGGCGGAAGTGCCTTGGTGAAGACATCAGCAGTGTTGGCCCGAGTGCCCACGTATGCAAGACGAAGCTGGCCATGCTGTTGCAACTCTTGAGCAAGGAAGTATCGCAGAGCGATGTGCTTCGTTCTGTGCTCCAGTCTGTGCTCCTGACACAAGGCAATAATGGCCTTGTTGTCTACGTACAGAACTAGAGGCGAACGAGGCCGCTCTCCCAAGTCGGTCAGCAGGTAGGTGAGCCAGCGTAGCTCCTGTGCAGCCATGGCCCCGACGTAGATCTTAGCCTCACAACTGGATCTGAGAACCGTAGACGAGCGGGTAGACCGCCAAGAAACAGAGCCGGAACCAAGGCTGAAGGTGAACCCTGTGACGACCGCTGCATAGCTGAGTCGTCAACCCAGGAGGCGTCTGCGTGACCGGTGAGGACAACTGGACCCCGTACTCCAAGCACGAGCCCCATGCCCGACGTACTGCACAAGTAACGCAGTACCCTCTTTGCAGCATCCCAGTGCACATTTCGGTGCCTGCCGGGAGCCACGTAGCGAGCCAGGAGGTTGAGAGGGTATGCGAGGTCGGGTCGAGTGCAAGTCATCAGGTACATGAGGCAACCCACAAGCTCTGGATATGGACCACTCGGCTCTACGGACTCGTACGAAGGTGGAGCTGAGAGCGAGTGGCTGGTAGACAAAGGAGTGGGCTGTGGCGAGGAGAACTGGAAGCCGAAGCGCTGAAGGACCTGGTGCACCATGTGTGACTGAGTCATGGTAATGGTGCGCCGAGCTCTGTCCCGGGTGATCTGCAAGCCAAGATAGCTGCGCAGTTCACCCAGGTCAGTGCAGGTGTGTCTCTTCTGTAGCTCCGACTTCACAAGAGTCAGTGCCTCAGTGTCAGCAGTGGCAAAGACAAGGTCGTCGACGTAGACGAGGACGTAGAACGGCGGCAGCGAGGTGTCGGTGCGTAGAAACAGCGACAGGTCAGCAGTGGCAAGAGCAAACCCAAGAGCCGCAAGTGTAGTCCTCAGTGTGTCGTGCCAATCGCGAGGCGACTGGCGGAGACCGTAGACTGGCCGCCGAAGACTCCACTGAGTACCTGCAGGAAATGACGCAGAGAAACCAGGTGGGCGGCGCAACCAGATCTCGTCGTGCAGGCTGCCCTGCAGAAACGCTGTGCTGAAGTCCAGAGAGTGCAACTCGTAGTCACGCTGAGCAGCGACGTGCAGCAACACCCGAAGAGTAGTCATCTTTGGGGTGGGGGAGAAGGTCTGGAAGTAGTCAACTCCCTGTCGCTGGCTGAAGCCTCTAGCAACGTAACGCGCCTTGAAGGCAAGCGGAGAACCCGGCTGCCGCTTCACCCTGAAGATCGAGATGCCATCGACTATGTTCGCCCCAGGTGGGGGAACCTTGTCAACGTAGGTGCCTGTGGACTTCCAGGATGCCATCTCGTTATCCATGGCTGCCTGCCACTGAGAGGAGTAAGGACCCGTAATCGCCTCTGCGTAAGAGCGCGGGGTCGGGATGTCTGGAGCATCCGGGTCTCCCTCAGGGGCAAGCAGCAAGGATGCGAAACGAGGTACAGCAGCTGCAAGACACTCAAAGTCATCCTGCCTGTCCTCAAGGACGTCCGTGCCAAGAGCACACTCACCCCCGACGGACGGAGGACTGGCAGACGCAGACTCAGCAACAAGAGCAGTGGCGTAGTCTAGACGACAGGCAGCAGCAAAGTCAAGCAGCTCAGCAACGAGAGAAGATGCAGCAGCAGACTCAAAAGAAGGGCCAGTGACAGCAGAGGCGAGGAGACGAGAGAATGTGGGACTAGCAGTAGGAGCGCGGTCAGACTCAGGGTCAGGGACCCAGGAAGAGAGGACTCAGGAGGAGCAAGCAGAGGAACACGCAAAGGAACAAAGGAAGGACGAAGGGTCATAGCGTATGTGCCGGGGACAGGAGGACGCGAACGAGGAGTGCAACGAGCAGTGCGAACAGGCAACACAGGACGAGACGCAGGCTCACGACGCTCTGTAAGACCGCCAGACTGCTCAGTGTAAGGAGAGGGAGCAGGCAGTGGGGAGGCTGGCTGTAACGGCGGCTGCGATTGGTCAGGCGGGGGACACAGGAGGGGAGGAGTAAGGCCAGTACAAGACGGGGTACCAAGAACCTGCTGAAGCAGGGGAACGAAGTACGGTCGCGGCCGCACAGTGCCTCCAGCTCTAGGGTCAACAGCTCCACCACCAGCAGCGCCAACGCCTCCGACTCCAGTGCCTCCAACTCCAGCTCCGGCAGCTCCAGCGCCTCCTGCGCCAGGGCCTCCAACTCCAGCTATTCCAGCTCTAGCGCCTCCAGCACCAACTGCTCCAGGCTCCATAGTGTCTCCAGCTCCAGCACCCGCAACACCACCAGGCCTGGCAGCTCTAGTACCCCCGGTACAAGCACCTCCAGGACCAGTGGCCGCAGAACCTCCAGTAACACCAGCTCCAGCAGCTCCAGCACCTCCAGCTCCGGTAGCTCCACCCCAAAGGCGTGCTTGTCGAACAAACCACTCACGCAGCTGCTGCGGAGACAGGCTTGGTGAAGCACCAGCAGAACCTCCAGACGAAGCAGCACCCTGAGGTTCATCACCTCCAGACTCCGCACCCTCCAACGCAGCACCCCCAAGCTTAACACCCTCAGGCTTAGCACCCCCAACTCCAGCACCCCAAGGCTCAGCACCCCCAGTCTCAGCACCCTCAGTCTCAGCACCCTCAGACCCCGCACCCCCAGGCTCCGCACCCCCAGACGCAGCACCCCCAGACGCAGCACCTCGAACAGCACCTGAGTCGACAGCTACCTGAACAGGCACAGGACCAGGGAGAGGGTCTACCTGGGACACACCTGAGGAAGCAGGACCTTGGGGCGGGAGGGGGTCTACCGGAGGAGGACCGGGAGCAAGGAAGAGCGGCGGGGGCGGGGGAGGGGCAGAGCGGTAGGGGAATAGACGGTAGAAGGGAACCGACTCGTCGAACGTGACGTCCTGAGACAGGATGACACGGCGCGAGGTGGGGTGGTAGAACTGCCAGCCAAGCGCGTCAGGGACAAAGCCAAGGAAGACGCAGGGGATAGCACGAGGGGAGAGCTTGTCCGCGGACAAATCGCGAACAAAGGCACGAGATCCCCAGACCCGGAACACCGACACATCGCCAACCTCCCCCGTCCAACGCAGTGTGGGCGAGGTCTCCGGCAAGGAGACACGGGGCCAGAGGTTGAGCTGATGCGCAGCGTACTGGACCGCAAACGGCCACAGAAAATGGGGAGCAGCCGCATGGGTCATGGAGGTACGAGCGACCTCCATGACTAATCCAATGCGGCGCTCAGCAATCCCATTTTGCTGAGGGGAGTCCGGAAGCGCGAACGACTGGGGAATGCCCTCCCCACGACAAAAGTCCCTCAAGAGGTTGGAGGAGAACTCACCACCTCTGTCAGAGTGCAGACGCAGGACAGGAAGGTCCTGGCCAAAGCGCTCGCGGAGCTGGAGA